ATGCGCCCACTCTGACATAAAGCAACCAACCTAACAATGAAATGTAACAACACACCTACGTTGGCAATGAAACGTAACGGTGAACCCACCCTGACAATGACATCACGCACCCACATTGGCATAACATACCCACCCTCACAATGAAATGTAACGCACCCACACTGACAAGATAGGCACCGATCTGGGGTATTTGAATTTAGGTTTTATCATCCGCTGTATTATGATTTATGTGATATCCATATATGTCTTGCATTTTTCAAACCCTGGTAGCTGTTTCGATTGATCGATATCTTCTAATATTCGCTGGTTCTTTTGATACCCATGTAACAATATTTTGACTTCCCGGTCTGATCGTGACCTTTGACCATGACAAAACATGACCTAAAACGGCGGACTAGTGCACCCGCGGACTAGTGGACCCCTTTCATATTTTCCTGTTTGATGTTTCTTTTTTCGACAACGAACATCTAAAATCAGTGTAAGCTATTTGTAGAGCATTTTTATGTTGTCAATGTAAACAAACTGGATTTCAGTTTACGGCTGTATTCCCGTGGCGGCAATTAGCTAACCGATGGCGTACCTTTATTGTCCGATGAAATATCATATAAATTATTCATGTTTCGTAAAATTATCAGTAGTATCGTGTGGGAGAATAACTAGTTACTGTTGATATTGATTAAGTATACAATGATGATTAAAATCGCAATGGCACACTAAATCGTCCGCCCACGCGCCGCCCACACCACCACTCCTAAATAAGACATTAAAGGGACAATAACACTCTTGCTGGCTTGACAGCTCCAGAAAATAAAAAATAGCCTTATTCTAAGTACTAGATGTGTTAGTGTCTTACCTGTTGTGTAAATTATCCATTAAATCCTATTTTACTTGTCCAGAGGGTTCAAAAATATTTTAAAACCAAAATCACGTTTGAAAAGCTTTACGTCAGGACTTTCAAATCATTTAGTTGAATTTTTCCATTTTTTTAAATTAGGTGTGTTACGATGAAATTTGTATCATCAATTAATTAGAATATTGTAAAATAGTACAATTTGTTGACCAGAATAAAGATTGGGGCATGTTATTCAGTTACAACAAGAGTAGTATTGAGCCTTTAAGCACCAAGTAGAACGTTTGAGCCGAAGTTACTCCTGCCCTTCCAACTCTCTCTCTCTCTCTCTCTCTCTCACCCACTCTTGTCGAAATACGAGAATTATCAGACGGTTACTTCGTGAACTGAGAATACATGAATCTATTTCATCAGATTTATGAAGAATGTCAAATAACATTTCTATTTGTGGATTCTAGGATTGTTCTGTATGTGTACTAGACACCTATCATATAATATTTCCTAATAATAGAATCTTCTATATCCAGAAAAGGAAAATATTTTACAAAGGTAAATGGGATATTGTTTTACACCATCTTATGTTTAAAGATGGGTTCCCGCGTACAAACTGGGTGATTTAATGGTATATGTGGACTAAAAACATATTCAAACTAATTAATGTCAAATAACATTTCTATTTGTGGATTCTAGGATTGTTCTGTATGTGTACTAGACACCTATCATATAATATTTCCTAATAATAGAATCTTCTATATCCAGAAAAGGAAAATATTTTACAAAGGTAAATGGGATATTGTTTTACACCATCTTATGTTTAAAGATGGGTTCCCGCGTACAAACTGGGTGATTTAATGGGATATGTGGACTAAAAACATATTCAAACTAATTAATTTTTCATAACTTTGCTTCAAATCCTTCTCAAACATTGTAATTGCGAAGGAATGTCCTGCTATAAAAATTCGATCAAACCAGGTCATGTTTACGTCACGTGACTTACCTCTCTTGGAAGTCAGAGGAGAATTCATTGCATACCTAAGACGATGTTGTCTTTAATCGCTTACTATTTACTACAAATATCGAATCCTAATTAAATTCTCGGAATATCCACTACCCGCGTCTTTTTCCGCCATTTTTATCTCAGAAAGTGTTGTACGTCTAACTCTTCATAAAGTTGATCAACTTGTACATCAAGTACTCAATGTTCGCGTGTGACCTTTGACATCACGCGTGCAGAAATTCCTAATCGTCGGGCTGTTGATTAGGGGAACCCTTACATTTTTGTCCTGTATACGTTCCATGAGTGTTTCGGGGAATCCAGTATTTTTCTAGTAAGATTGGATATCTCTACTTTCCATATATACCAAAATTACCATATTTTTTATTGGAAATAACCACCCGATAAATACTTTTCTGGGAACCCATCATTAAATTATGGAGGATAGAATTAGAATATTTCCGCCGAGTTTGGTCATTTAATTGGCTGAAAAATTCAGATAAATTAAAATTTCAATCAATAAATCTTATAGCAAAAAGCTGGTCGAAATCAACCAAGCCCATTAATTGATAGGGAAGCTGAAATCTGATTAATCCAATTTTTGAACTACCCGCAAGGTCTGTGGGTCTAGACGTATATACCATTCTTTTCCGATTGATTTAAAAACTATGTATACCAACGATTAATTTATGGCGGTTTTCCATCACCAACGAATAATCATTGATCAGTACATTACCTCTGATGTTTCAGTGGTAATAATAAGTAATCACTGGAAGGACAATGTATTTCTAGGCCTCCGTCCTGCACCACTAACATGGGGGAAAACGCGCTGGGAAATCTCGAGGGACTTGCTCAGCTAACATTGGTAGTGAACCTGAGAGTTCCTGGTTAACGAGAATCTTATTCACTGAGCCACCGCGGCTCCACGCGTGATTGAATAAAATGAAATGCAATTTTAAGTATAGTTTAAAGGACAATATTGGTGTCAGTCATTATCACATATGTGATAGAACTAATTAAACACGTTCCAAATATAATTTTAACACAGAGATCATTGACGAACGCCAAAGGAAAACACGGGTCATACTATGGAAGACCAAATGGGACAATATTCATGATTCTTGTTTCTACATTCCAGTTTGAACATTTTAGACACGAACGCACTTTCTAAACAAATGATTCTTGTTTCTACATTCTTTTGTAATGATATATAAAAGTTACCGATAAAACGCCGAAAATGAAACATAAAGTCCTACTGTTCTACTCCGACACGTCATACAGTTTGCTATGGGGAAAATTTGGGGGAATTTGGTGGTTTTAATTCGGGATTCATTTTACTCGTAACAATAATGACGATCAAAATGACGATTAAAAACGTAACGTAGAAGGATTATTTTATACAGGCCGCATAAGCAAATACTGTATGTATTATTTTGCATGCATATAATATAGTTTTACTAAAATATTTGCTCGCTGTTTTTCATATCTTGGATTGTTTCGTATACTCATTAGCAGTACTATCAATATATTGGAATCGTTCCTTAGTTTTATCACATCACATCTATCTGATATTCCTGGAAGCGGACCTGTTTAAAGATGTTAAAAGAATTAAGTTTTCTTTTGGGTGATGATCACGCTGTATTTGAAAGACGATACACCAGTTTCCCTACTAACCGACCGGCACTCAACACTGTTGTTCATCTAGCAGTTCTAAGAGTTTGCTTTTGAATCGAAGTGAAATGAAATAAAATGAAATGGGGTTTAACGTCCTACTGTTCTGATCCTATGCTGGACTAATGAAGACGGGCATACGCCATGCAGTGTGCTATGAGGGAACTTTTGTCCGGGCAGCGGCACTATCGCCTACTCTTATATCGAATTCCAACTGCCAAGGGATCTTTTACGCGCATTCCAATGTATACACGGGACCTCGGTTTTTCGTCTCATCCGAAGGACTAGACAGCTGTCCTTGTCAGGCCCTCTGTCCTGCATCACTCACAAGGGGGGAACCACGCCGGAAAATCTGGATGAACTTTCTCGGCCAATGCAGGGATCGAAAACCCGACCTCCAGGCTAGCGAGTCAGCGTCTTACCAACTTAGCCACGTGATCCCCACTCGAAAATATCAATCTTTTCGCACTATTGCACCAGGAACTGCGTCCCAAGGGCATTTCATCTTGGTGTTCCCCTTCTTTGGGGCTACGCTCTTCGAAAAATTCTAAGATTCCGCCAATAGTATGAATTACTAGGTGTCTCATCCATAGTACGCTTTTTGCATTCTAGGGCGGCTAGGCTGCCTTTTCCATTGGGTATGACCAATTGTAATGGATTTTTATAGTTATGTATTGTAACAATGTCGTTAGCATCGGTTTTCAGAATTTCGGTTAATTGTTTTCTTGGAAATGTCTCAAGTTAACTTTCCCACAGATGATGAGGAAATTTGACTTAAGAAGAAGGAAGTATATAATTCTTAAGTCGAAATAATCCTAATAATATTTTCCCGAATTTTAACAATGACGTCTTTAACGACCTGTCTGCTATTTCCTTAAGTCGCATTTCCCACGGATGATATGTATACCCGTCTGTAGTCCTTCGGATGAGACGAAAAACAGAGGCCACGTGTATACATTGGAATGCACGTAAAAGATCCCTTGGCAGTTGGAATTCGATATAAGAGTAGGCGATAGTGCCGCTGCCCGGGCAAAATTTTCCTCATAGCACACTGTATGGCGCATGCCCGTCTGTATTAGCCCAGTATAGGAGCAGAAGAGTAGGACGTTAAACCTCATTTCATTTATACCCGTCTGAATAGACAAACTGCACAGACATTACACGCAATAACAGACAAACATATATGTCATATCAAGTACATGGGTCCGCAATGTCTTTCAAAATCATTATAAACACATATGTAAAAACAAATACACTGATGAAAATAGAATAACAGGAAACATCAATACCAAGAAAAAAAATAATGCGAAGAATGTAAATGATCTGTTAAGTCGCATTAATATCAAAATCGATTTTAATATTTAATTTCTTACCGTATTTAAGTTCTAATTAAATTGCAATATTTTCATGTCGCACATATATTTACAACAATTATATAAAAAATCTGATTTATGATATTAAATTAAGTAAAATATATTTACTTACCGTATATAGATCCAACCCTGCTGGTTCGCAGTTGTCAGTGTGTCCTTGTTCTATGACTAGATGAGTAGTTAGGAATTACTGAGTTACGTCCTTATATAGCGGTTAGTCTAACAAACTACGTGCGCAATCAATGTTTAATATCTTGATATCTATATATGTTTAATTAATGATAGGATGTAAACTGCGTAGCTGTGTATTTTATAGACAGTCTGTCGTGGCTGTTCTCACCTACTAAACGACAAGTGGGGGTGGGGGGGGGTGGCCGAATGGTTAGCACGTGCGTGCTGTATAATACAGCCTGTCATTGAGTCAACTGGCGTGGTTTATTATTTCGATATGTATTTTTTTTTTTATTTATTTATTTATTTTTTTTTTTTAATTATTGCGCACATTATCGGATGGAAAACAGATAGTTAATGCGTCAGTTTGGCAGATGCGGGGTAAAATACAGTCAAGCGATGAAGGGAATTACATTTTTTTTATTATTCCACACGCTTCATATTTTTCTCTAGTTGATCTGAAATTGTATTTTGCATTATAAAGATATAAAAAGAATGTAGTTATTGTGTCATTAGTCCAAGAAAAAAATACTTATATGTTTACGGTTACTTGCACACAAAAATAGGGTTTTTATTTTTATTATTATTTCTATTTTTTTCATGGAGTTTGAATTACTTATTCCCTAGCCTTTCTAGCTTAAAGAGGCATTATGTGAGATTAGATAAAGAGTTGACTGTTCTCGCTATAATAGTTAAAAAATTAGATAACATAAATAGAATATGCTGAAATTACTGTACTCTGAACCTAGATATTAGCTTTTGAATTTTACGCTAGCCTCGGTCATTATTACTAAAGTCGATATGATAAAATACAAAGTCTCGATTATCCACGTGATTATTTTTCAAAAAATGTATTCCAATCCGCTAAATAAGGCAGGCTAGCGATGGCATTGAGAGTTGAATATGGTCTGGATAAGTTAATTAATGTCTAATTTATTAATTTAGATAACATTAATTTCACGCCTAAAGAAAGGTCTGCTATAGGCAAATTTGGCTCTTGCATAATGTATGTTTAATTGCTGAGTAAGCTTCTTAAAAAAAATACCGAAATTTCAGTTAGATTTTTTATAGAGAAAACCATGTCTATACCGAGTTATAGGGGATGAGAAATGAGGAAAAAAGTTTAGGTTCGGTAGGATCGATCGGGTAACCGTAAACACGGGTATTTTTGTTTTATTATTTGGCCTTCGTTATTGTCTTCCGGACATTGCTACGTGAAACCGACTTGAAGTGGGAGTAGTTCTAGGAAATTAAATATAGTTTATGATGTAGATGTTTTAAAGCGACTAAAGCACTTTGAGGTCAAAATAAATAATAATTTGAGTTGATGTTTCATTTCGATTAGCGATTGGGTGAGTTCTATTACATGAAAGTTCACTATCGACAGTGGAAAACAAAAACGGTTCACTATACCATTATATTATCTATGTAAGATTCTCAACGTTGACATATAGTACCACAAAACAAATCAAGTTTCATTTTTGTCCCAAATCAAAGTGGACAAGCCATTTTAAAATGCAAATGTTACTGTGTATATTTTTATTTTGGGATTCCCCAATGTTGCTTACAAAACGACTTTGGCTGTATAAATTCATTTTAACAACAACCAATAGGTAAACAATGGGATATCCGTATAAGTATCAAAGACTGCTTAGTTTTAAGGATGCCATTAATGAACTATTGATTAGACAAATATATTTATATTACCACGATAATTTGTGAGTAGTTTGTGAGGATTTCTTGTCGCTTGCAAATCTAAGCGTACCGTTATCTACAGGAGATTTACGAAAGTACTTCTACCCGAGCTGCAATATTTTAGCAGCGGCTTGTTTTGTCCGCTGCTACAATCGATACACTTGATACAGTGTGCTGTGAGGGGAATTTAGCCCGGACAGCGGCGCTACCGCCTATCGAATTCCAACTGCCAGGGGATCTTTTTCGATATCAGTAGTGGAACCATTACTACTTCGTGATATGTACGCATTGTACGGAAATTTTTAAAGTTTATGCTTACAATGGGTTATTGAAGATATCGGTATCTTTCATAGTGTATGTATACAAATAGTTATAATATAGAATTATAGTTTACTGAGTACGTTGTCGAACCTACAAGACGTGTTCTTGTCAACAGAAGGGACATTTCAAAACAGGTTTATCTTCATTTTAGAAAAATTATTTGTATTTGGACCCTATAAATATAGTAATAATACAGGCATTTCGATTTACGCGTAAGCATAGATATGTACGTAAAGCTGTTAAAACATTAAAGGTGGGGGGGAGGGTATGTCAACTGTGCAACTCAAAGCAACTAGATTCAGTCAGTTACGGGTATAACTTCAACTTTTTATTTGCATATTACGTCTATTAAGAACAGTATACAAAACATACGCATACATCAATATACATGTATACAAAAATATATTTTACATGGAATAATATATTGGAATAACATGATGTAATGAAATGAAAATATACTATTCAAAAAAAGTAGGGGATAATTGATTTTTAAGTGTTATTAAAGTCACCTAATGAAACTGACGAAGAAACAAATGACAAAATGAAATGAAGTTCACATTCATCGATTTATTCCAAATGATCGTTAGACTAAGTAAGGCACAGGCTGACCATTATAAGGGTAAAATGATACCCGGGGTCAAACAGCAAAGTTACCACAGCATCACAACCAAGTCAGTAACGGGTAAATCCTCCTCTGTTTGCCAAACAAGCATTGATCCGACGTGGCATACTCCTAATGAGACGTCTAAGGTCATTTTGGTCCAGATTGTCCCATTCCTGTTGCAACGCAGCAGCAAGTTCTTGGACATTGGCAGGACGTTGTTGACGTTGACGTAACCTCTGTCCAAGCATGTCCCAGACATGCTCGATGGGGGAGAGGTCGGGACTCAGTGCTGGCCAAGGTAATGTGGTGATGTTCTGTTGTTGGAGGTAACCTGTAACGATCCTGGCCCTGTGACATCTTGCGTTGTCATCCTGGAAGATGAAACGGCGGCCATGACGTCGTGCGAACGGCACAACATGAACTGCCAAGATGTTGTCCCGGTAGTACTGGCCTGTAACACGCCCTGCAACAACATGTAAAGCCGTTCTTCCAGCAACAGTGATGCCTCCCCACACCATAACAGAACCACCCCCAAATCGATCATGTCTGATGACGTTAACGTCTTGGAAGACTGTAACATTCAAAGTCAGAGTCGTGCAAATCTTGGGTTGGACCCCCATGATGATCCCAAGCATCACCTGCATTCCATGCGGTAGCTATTGGTGCGTTTGGGCGTCACATGTAACTGGAAATGTTTCTTCTGTTAGGTTCTATAGTGACTTTTTTCGTAGTCATTTGCATATTTTAGTATTATGCCCCCAAAATCAAATATCCTCTACTTTTTTTGAATAGTATATAATGAGATATAATATACATGTACCATTGGGGTGATACAATGAAAGTATAACAATGAAAGTATAACAATGAAATGAAAATATGAAGTATAACCATGTACATACATGTATAATGATCATATAGACCAGGCAGGTGCCCCCTTTCCTTAAGAGCATGATATGTACACATTGCTACTGCTTTAGCAAGAAAATCGGGCGGATTAAAAAGAAGCTCAAAGGTTAATTGACAAGATTATATTAAAGTAGGGTAGATATATTTTAAGCGCAAGTTTTCGTATCTGGGACACTGGAACAGAAAATGGAATTCATCTTCTACGGTAGAAAGAGAACATTGGGTGCATAACCTTTGGTTAGGTGGAATATTCTTGTTTTGCCCTCTCTCTATTTCCAGTTTGTGTGAGCTGAGTCAAAGCGATGAAAAGGCGGATTTAAAACAACTGAGGACAACTGAGAGCAACTGAATTCTGAGCGCCCATGTAGACTCAGAATTAAGCGATAACACTTAACACGTGACTGTTATTTCTTTCATCACATAATCAACAAAATGGCGAATACCGTAAAAAAAACAACACCCGAAAGGCATGGTCAGGTTTAAATATTAAGGCCACCAGCAGATTTCGTCAAAGTCAAGAGTTGTTGCCGAGGATTGTAGGCTAGGGTAAGTGCTAGTCTTGTTTACATCTCGTGACCTTGACGAAATCCGCAGGTGGCCGTAATATTTAGACCTAACTCCACAGGCATGGTCAGTCCTGTCACAATTATATTAATAAATTATTGTCGACATCATTAAGATTCGAAACGTGGGTGCCTTCGTTCGCTTCCATATTGCTTATTTATAAAGTCACATGACACATGTCTCTTATCACGTGATACTATTTCCATGGAAACGAGTTGACACCAGTTTTAAAAGCGTTCATGTCGACGACAACTAGTTGCCGCTAGTTGGTCTCAGACTAGCAATTATTTGCCCATTGACTTCCATGATAAATGGCTGTAACATCACAGGCTGTAGCTTTTTTGCTCAACTTTCCGTTGATTCTAATCTTTATCGGCGCAATGGGAACCAGGGGCCCGTTTCACGAAATTTTAACTAAAGATAAAATCCAAATTTTAGTAGATACTTCAATTTTGATTGGCTAAGGACTAAAATCAATTTAATATCATCCAATCAAATTACTAAAATTTGGATTTTATCTTAGTTAAAATTTCGTGAAACAGGCCCTAGATTTGGCAATCTCTTCATCATAATTTTGTAGAGGGTTGACCGTTTAGATTTTTTGCTACGGGGATTTGATGTTAAATATCTCACTTCCGACACAATAATTGCTCTGCAGAAAGACACTTTACACCCCCTATCCGTCCGCTAGATCAAAAAGTCAGCTAAAAAATGCAAGAAGAGGGAGAGAAAAAATTAAGGGAAAAATTGTCTATTTATAACTCGCACTTCATGAAATAAGGGGAAATAATTACTAGTCTTAATCCAGTTGAAGCGAATTGCAGAAATTTAAACATTGGCAACTGACTAGAACTAGTTGCTTTGAGTTGTGATTGGCGCTAAGGCCCCAAGTTCACAAAGCATTCCTAGACTTAAGTTAAGAATTTACTCAAAATTGTTCGGTTTTTTTTTATAAAGATTTTGCTGTTTTAATGTATCAAATACGCCAATACAATAAGAAACTATGTGCAATGTTTCGTGTTTATGGATTAAATATATTTCTCATTAACAGTGATTAGATACATTATGGGAGATTTTTATAGATAGTTGGCCATTCTTGCTGTAACAGTTCAAAAGTACACGATGAAAGAAGAATATATTGAAGATTTCAGTCAAATTACTTTATTCTGAACAAAGTTATCATCGTTGTAATATTTGACTAGAAATGGTAGTCAAATGTATCTTCAGCTTGGCCGATCGTTTGATTGACAGTCGTTAACTCCACCTACATAATCTCCATTATCTAGTAACCTTTTTAAATGGCTTGAGACGGGGTTGCAGTTCAATTTCGTATCACATTTATTTTTACTACGAATTAAAAAATATGACTTTTATTATATAGATAAGAAGCGAAAGTTTGAAAGGAATGGACCAAATCAATGAGGCATAATTATAGCCGACTTCTTGTTAGCCTGTGTGTACTCTTGTACTGTAACGTGATTATACATGACTCCCGAAGCAGACAAACGGGAAGGAAACACTGCAGTGATCCAATGGGTCTGCAATACAACTGGGGTGATGTTAGCTGCGATGTTTATCAATTTCCATAATTTTTCTGTAAACGCAAGTGACAAAAGAGCGTATAATACCGACATCCAAACTCTCATTTTAACCACAAATAAACATAATATCAAGGCCGTATATATCGAACTTTCAATCAAATTGACTGACATGCGGCATCACTCAACAGCGGCCTCGCTTCGTACACTCTATCATTTAGCCTCGATCTAACGGTTAATAATCTCCGCATGGGGCGCCATTTATGATTTAATCAATCAGTGAAATCCTATTTAAATCCAAGCTGTAGCCGAGCCATCCGTGGGTCTACAGAGTTGATTTTGGGCTTGTTTATAATTTATAATTTCTATAACATCTGAAGCCTAAATTAAGACTTGCAATAATCAGATTTAGCTCTCGCATAATGTATGTTTAAGTCTTAGTGCACTAAATTTGTGACGTGGTGGATGACTGATTGACCAACTGTTGTATTGTAAAAGAAAACAAACAAGAAAGCAACTCTTCAGAGTCAGTTAATCTTCTTTTTTTTCACATTAATTTTGTGTATTAATGCATTTTATTGGTTTCGAGTTTCAGTAATAAGTGTTCTTCATTTCTGCGATGTTCAACTCCAGAAAGAAATGAAATGTACCGGTAACGTTTACTAGACGGTCTGTCATGGTAGAGATACTGTCCAGCCTTAGATGATAATTCTCATTCAACACCTACCATGAACACTCTATGGGATAACCATCAACAAACGGGACGTTCAGTGGCGTCAGCGATTATCGACAAAAGATTCCGATCACTCACAGACGACAGTTCTCATATAAATCCCACTGCGACTCTATAACCTTCATTTTTAAATGATAAATGTCCAAATATATATTTCAATTATTTATAATTATGGTGTCTAATAAGTGTTTTTATAATGTTTCTAATGCTAAGTGCGGGAGAACCGCACTTTATGCAAAAACAAAACGCCGACAAGACAAACGAGGGGACAAGGCACGTCTTGCGGACAAGACGAACTAAATAGACACTGCAAGAAATAAACAAAGGGATGGGGGGGGGGGTCAGAAAACGGGTTGGGTTACAATAACTTTTGAGGCGGGCCCCGATAAAATACATATAAGTATATTCTATTGAACTATCACGGTAGACAATTTCTACATTCGCTTGTAAATTGGAATGGTGACAGTGGTGAGATGAGCTAATTGTTTTAAACGTGCCTAGAGTTGGCGTATAAAAGGGAGATAACCTCATACTACACTGTCGAAGAATTTCAGATTTTTAGAAATATTCCATCCAGGCTAATGAAGACGGGTATACGCCGTGCTATATGGGGGACATATTGAGGAGAGAGGTAATATAATCTATCAGGGGCGGATTCAAGACTTTTTGCAGGAGGGGGGTTTGCCAGGTTCCCGAGACAATGTATCCCCCCCCCCTCCTCCCGCATGGTCTCTATGGTCATTTTGGCGTATATACATACACATTGAGCTTTTTAAACTGAGAAATTCAACACCTCGTTTGATGTCAATTTGTATTATGAATTAATACAATGACTGTCATTCAATTTCATGGATGCAAAGCATTAATTGTGATATCACATAATGTCTATATCATTATCTCGTGCTTTGAGTGTCCATGCTGTCCCACATCTGACGATAAAGGATAAAGCACACGGCCGAGAAACTTTTCTCACAAAAAGTACTGATTTACAAAAAAAATTATGTAGGTGAGCAGGGGGAGGGGGGGGGGGGTCGACCCCCCCAAACCCCCCCTCTGGATCCGCCCCTATCTATGCCTGCTCCCTGGTCCTTTTACATGCCCTTGAAATAAAACATTGTTTACAAAAAAAAATAGGCAAGGGCGCTATCAAACGTGATCTGTTAATCAAATTTTTCAATACAGGTATACTGGATGGTGTGCCCCCCCCCCCCAAACACAGCCTTTTTATTATCTTTTTTTATATGTCCCTTCTCTACAATAAAAACTTATCCTTCTGTAGGGTTCTCGTGACTCTATGCTTACTCAACAACTAATCTGGACTGTCGGGACAGTGGTTTTTTCGGGTTTGAGAGATTTTAAGTACGATTCATAAACGGCTCCAGGTGTGGACCGATCATTTTGAAAATTAAAATTTAACTACTGTTTAAAGAAAATTGTTTCGCATCGCTCTTGTATACTATGTGCTTTTATATACTAACTCTGCTTAACATTTTGGAACACATAAATATGCAATTAACTTACTACTGATAAAATATTATAAAATCTCAAAAGGCACAATCAGCATGTCCTTTATTATATAAAAACGTCGGAAGTATATATGTGTATACATCAAGATTCAAAGAGTTTGGACAATTTTTATTTGGCTATGTCGGCTCGGGTTTTTTTTTATTCTTAAATCTCATTGCAGGGAATGATAGGTGTTACCACATATCGGTAAGAAATCAAAAACGTGCCGCGGACAATATTGTGTCAACATATGAAACGGGAATAAACATATCACAAACAACAAATTGCACTTTTTTAGTCCACCTTGCCATGCTTTTTTCTCTGAAAAATGACAAGAAAGTGTCCCAAATATTTTGTCAATTAACTTACTACTTGTTTGTCATATTATATAAAATGTTATAAATTCTGAATAGGCACAATCAACCGATATTCGAAAGTATAATATTTGTAGGCCTATATATCAAGCTTCAAAGAGCTAGAATGATTATTATTTTGGCTGGGAACGCTCAGGGTTCCTGCTTTCCTTATATTTTTGTCGGGAATGTCGGCAATAAGAATATCAAAAACTTTTTAGATGTAACAAATTGCGTGTTTAGTTCACTAGACATGGATTTATTCTGGTAAATAAGAATAAAGTCCAAAATCATTTCGCTTTCGTTTCGCTCGGAAACAAACTCGTTTGCTCCCACCCTCTTTCAAAATTCCTGTATCCGCCCCTGGTATAGTCGTCCGGGTGGGACGAAAAACCGAGGTCCCGTATACAAATTGGCGTACATGTAAAATAACCATTGGCAGTTGGAATTCGAAATAAGAGTAGGCCGTAGCGCCGTTCTACGGGTAAAATTTCCCTATATGGACCACTGCGTGACGTATGTCCGTCTTCATTAGGTCGGTGCAGAAAAGTGGGACGTTAGACCCCATTTCATTTCACTTGGGCTGTTTCCAATTTATTTTAAATATGCAACACAGAAGGACAACTGTGTTCACATTTTATTGAAATACAAAGTTAATATTTTTACAGATGGATCTATAGTTAATATAACTGGTTCTATATAACTAATTGCGTGTATCTTATTGGTTCTCTAGGCTTCAGTGGGGCAAATTAGATTACCACAAGTGACAGCGTCATTTGCACTCTGGACAAATTGGTAACAACATTTTTCTAGATTTTTCTTAACACACCCTTCTGGTGGGTTTACCACACCTGCTTTATATCCAATTCTGTAAAAAAAAACATGACATAAGATAAAAACAATAAAACAGGGGCTACCTTTCTAAATAGGCAATACAGTATTACTCCCTTAACAGACATAGCATATTATGGGGCGCCGTTTGTAAATTAATTATTTAGCTTTTTATATAGCAAAAAACACTAGATTTAATTTAAATTTATATATATAGTTAAATCTCGACTGTTGTGCAATTTTTTCACTTTTAATATTTAAACTAAAAATACAACAAAAATTCAATATTTAACATAATATATATAAATATTTCTTGATTTGTCTCTATTTTCATATTTAACATTTAGCATTGAATATTAAGACCAAAACAAGAGATTTGATGCTATATAAATATTTAGCTAAACATTTAGTTAAATGTTTAAACATTTAGCTAAATATATATTTAGTTAAATGTTAAAATATTTAGTTAAACATTTATATATTTAGTTAAACATTTATATATTTAGTTAAACATTTATATATTTAGTTAAATAATATATATTTAGCTAAATAATATATATTTAGCTAAATAATATATATTTAGCTAAATAATATATATTTAGCTAAATAATATATATTTAGCTAAATAATATATATTTAGCTAAAAAAAATAAATAAATAAATATATATTTAGCTAAATAATATATATTTAGCTAAATAATATATATTTAGCTAAATAATATATATTTAGCTAAATAACATATATTTAGCTAAATATTTATATATTTAACTAAATAATTATATATTTAACTAAATAATTATATATTTAACTAAATATATTTAATTATATATTTAACTAAATATATTTAAATATATATTTAACTAAATAATTATATATATATATATATAACTAAATAATTATATATTTGGCTGAATAATTATATATTTAGCTAAATAATTATATATATATATATAAATAATTATATATTTAGCTAAACATATAGTTAAATTTACAAAGCTCAACCGTACCACGTAGTTTGTAAAATAATTATTGTTGTAAGCGACGTCACACTAAACGATGACGTAGTGTAGAACTTTCCATTGACTGCACCTTGCCTTGATCTGTGCGAACGGCACGGAGTACCGCGGCCGTGATTCTGGTTACAAGTTCGTGGTCAGCTTCCATTTCTAATTGCTAGTAGGCCTATTGTCGGGTACACGTCATCATTTTATGCGCAGTTTTTTGTGTCGCTTACGATAATAGAAATATTGGCGGGACCACAAATGTATTTTTAGTTAAATATTTATACATGTAGCTAAACATATATATTTAGCATGATATTTATTTATTTAGTTAACTGTTTATATATTTAACTAAATATATATATTTAGTTAAATGTTTATATATTTAAATAAATATATATATTTAACTAAATATATATATTTAGCTAAATGTTTATATATTTAGCTAAATGTTTATATATTTAGCTAAATGTTTATATATTTAGCTAAATGTTTATATATTTAGCTAAATGTTTATATATTTAGCTAAATGTTTATATATTTAGCTAAATGTTTATATATTTAGCTAAATGTTTATATATTTAGCTAAATATTTAACTTTAGATTTTTCAGTGATTTAGTATTTAGCATTTATACCTACGAAAAACAGCACATTTAGCTATATATTTAACTAAGCGATGTGAAATCAAGATATAACATTTAAAGTTTTTCATAGACCAAAAACTCGACTTTTAGGTACAATATTTTTTGATATTTACATATATGCCATTTTTGTTCTAATATTTATCTAAATATATATATTCGGAGTTAAATCTAATGTTTTTTGCTATAAAAAAAATTAAATAATTATTTTACAAACGGCGCCCCATAGCATATTTCCTTTTTCTTGTACACCCAAATGTGTTTTAGTTGATTACCAGCATATGTATTGTGAATCAAACCAAGGTCCTATTTATTCGTTGGTGAAACATATAGGCCTACATGATGAATAAAATTGAACTCTTGTTAAGTTACTGGTCACTTTTTTACCTTTAAATTCTTAATGACCCCTAGGATTTCATTGTATCACAAAACGAACTATTACATCTCGTAATCCAATTAATAGACTACAAAATCATGTAGGAATTATTAAGAAGTGATCAATAATAAAATAAAAAAAAAAGATCTGTCACTTTATATATACCCCACCCTTTTTATTTCACTTTTATAGAGTTGTGACAGTTTTAGGATATGGTTAATAGTGGACCCTTTTTTTTTTAAAAATTGATGCTTGTGTTATGACCACAGGGCCCCTGCCCACATGACCCACTCTTTCGTAACTCGCAAGGGTGTTACAGGTTAACGGAATCTGCCGAGGTTTGCCGAGTGAGACTTAGGTTATCAGACCAATATATTCAGACCGCGTTAGTATTTAAAAGAAAGCGAACTAGATACCATAGGCTACCCTTAGCAGGGCGGATCTAGGAATTTTGAAAAGGGGGGGCGCTGCAAAATGAAGGCATTGACCGCGGAGACGGGGCACGTCGCTGGGGGGGGGGGGTCCCAAGAAAATTATCCGTCATTTCCTTGCATCTGTAGCCATTCCAAGAGCTATTTCCCAGATTGGTGTGTTTGAGTCGATGGTTTGAGTCATTTGGGATCCCTACAACGGGTTGGGAACGGACATGTTTGAGTCTGAGAAAAGGCACTTTCAGCAGTAAAAAAGGGCACTGTCGAAAATTAGGGGGGTCGCGCGCCCCTCGCGCCCCCCATTGAATCCGCCTCTGCTTAGGTGGAAATGAACGTAAAACTCTAGGAATGAACGAACGAAGATACCGTAGTGTCTGCGTAGTGACTTGACATCGCTACACTTGGCATCCACCCTAGCCATATACTGCACATCGTGATCTACCTTATTGCGTTGGATGCATGTCTCTAACATGAAATGATTTTAAAAAATTTATTTTGTAATTCCGCCCCTATACTATAGTGAAATATCTCAAGACTGCTAAATTCTGCAATGATACTATATAGATATGTTGCCAATTACTTACCCACAACAACTCAAAACAGTTGAACTACATGTGCATTTTTCACATGTTGCTAAATCTACTGTTTGCTCATCTATCTCCCACTTTTTTGTTCCTAATTCGCAGTATTCGACTGGACTCATTGTTTTTATATCTAAAATAAACACACATTATTCCAATATTTCAGAATAAAAACATACATCACACAAGATACACATATTAATAGATAAATAAGATTTTATTGTATCATTGCATCCACCAAGGACAGCATACACAGTTTAAACAAAAGTTGATCATGATTATAATATAGCATCTGGGGTGATGCAATGTGATATAATCTATAAGCATTAAAAGATGGTCTGTATAATGAAAATCAGTATAGAGCTAAAACGAAAATTATCTAAACTAGCTGGAAAGTAAACAAACTATTTCTACCGTAAATTTTAGTATAATAAACATATTGTATTGAACAGGGGTGTTGCTTAACGGGTAACCTGACTAGCATTTTCGTTTGGAGGATTTAAAACAGTAATCATATTACATGAGATGTGCGGTTGCTTTTGAAAATTGGCGTAAATTTAGAATTTCTAAGATTGTTATATTTATTACAGTCAAATATGAAATGGTATTCTTCTTCTATATTTTGTTTATTATTATTACATTGTTTACATAAACGTGCATGTGGCGGAATATTTTTATAACGACCACTCTCTATCTCGAGATGGTGTGTGCTAAGCCCAATCGAAGTCTGCGCAACTTTATAGGCCTTCGATTTAACGGAGTGCAGATAGAAGGGTATCGCATAAAAATCTGGCTTAATCTTCCCATACGTCAGAAGTTTATGGATCGATTGTGAATTTTCTTGTTGATCAGTAACTATTAGGAAAAGATCGACAAATTTCTTTTCGGTGGCAGATTTTAGGTCATTTTGTTCAAGTTCAAAATATCTGGTTAAAACCCCTATGCTATGACAAAACGATTGTCTTGAACCAGCAGTTTTACAAGAAAGTTCATAATCCGTTACAAATGACGCGTCAAGGGGTTTGTTTTTATCATCCGATAAGAATCTTTTGAAGTAAAGAAGCGTGCGCTGATATATGTCCAGAGATAGTAGATGATTACCACATTCAGCTAGACATCCCATGTTACTGGCATATTTAAAATGGATTTACAAGATCGTACTTCTATTTTCTTCAAATTTATCCCATCTGTCAATCTTAATTATGTTTTTGTTTTTGATAACGTATGAAACCCAAATCTCTGCCCCATAAAGGGCTATCTGCTTAACAATAGAATGATAAAGTTTTATCATTACTGTAGAGGCCAGGGATTCAGTACAGCATAGTTTCTGTCTTATCGTATACCAAGCTCGTCGAGCTTTTTTCATTTGGTCACAAAATGCTGTTTTAAAGCTAGAAGTATTAGTAATCGTTAATTATTTTTGAGTTTAAATTCTTCAAAATAAAATTTATATACACACTTTTGCTTTTTACTTGTTTTAGAATTAAGGAACGTCATTATTTTTTGTTTTATTCGGATTAAGTTTCAGTTGCCAATCCGAAAAGAACTCAGATAAATTATTTAATTGATTCTGTAGGTTAGCCTCATTGGAAGACAATAAAACTAAATCATCCGCAAACATAAGATGAGTTAACAGTTTACCATTAAGCAGCGGGGTGCTAGCTGATATTTGAAGGTACTTTGGTAGATCATTAACATATATTAAACAGGGTTGGGCTCATGTTAAAACCCTGCTTGACACCAACCGTCGAAGAAATTACCTTGGATAATTTATCATTAGATTTTATCTTATAAGTTGTTTTATGATACACAGATTGTATAATATTATATACATTACCGTTTATATTATGTTTAACTAATTTGTAGAAAAGGCCAATTCGCTATACTGAATCAAATGCTTTTTTGAAATATTAAAGACGAGACTATAGATATAACACTGAAATCAAGACCGCCCCCCACCACACACACACACACAAACACACACCTACTACCACCGCCACTCCCCCACCTCCCATAAAAACATTTGAAGTACCTTCGGGGAGGGGGGCGTCACATAACCGCCACACAAGATAAATGCATTAAAGCCAAGATTGTAGATCCCAGAGAAGATAATACCATTGAAATTAAGAATCCAAAGAAAAAAGACACGTAACCGCGTAATGTACTGTATATGTACAGAATTGAAGACCTTAATTCATCCACGTATTACCTCAAGGCAACAATGTCGGGCGTCCTTTATTGGACCAAAATTAACCTTTACTTGTTTTGTAATAATTATGATCTTTAGGCCTGAGATGTTATCTAAATTATGAATTAGACATTAATTAACTTATCCAGACCATAATCAACCCCCGGTGTCATCGCTAGCCTGCGATGTTTATTGGATTAGGTTCCGATTTGCTGTTCGACTTCCATTCATGATTTAATCATGAACTGGATAATCGAGACTATGATTTTTTATCGTACCGACTTTAGTAATGATGATCGGGGCTAGGCCGAAAATAAAATCGGTAAAATCTCGGTTCAGAGTGGATCAATTTGACTGATATTTTCAGCAAATTTCCTGGCAAAGTCAGGGAGATTTGAAATTGGGTTGTGGGCAAGATAAGGCCTTAGCGTATTCCGCAAAAGAAACTTGCATAGAAACATCCTAAGAAAAAGGGATTTAAATTTTAAATATTTTTTATTATAGCAAAGCTAGCATAGTGTATTCTCAATTACGATATATATATATTGAAAGCATGCATTAGAATACATATCAACATATAAAACTGACTCTCTTCTGAAATATAGACTCCTAATTTTACGGGCCGTTAGCTGCAAATTTAAGCAAACGATCATTTCAATCCTATCTGTGTAATTCTCAGGTGTAGCAAGCAAAAACAAATACTGAATAATTGCTCCCTCGTCTCGTCGGGATTAGGCTTCCATACTTAACCGAAGAATGCTTGCTCATGCGCAGTGATTGACTTTCGAGGCGACAAGTCGCGGCACGACAAAGCGAAGTGTATTTTGTCCGACTTGTCGTGTTGTGAAGGCGACAAGTCGCGACACGACAAAGCGAAATAATTGTATTTTGTCTACTTGTCGGGTTTTGAATAAGTCAAAGGCGACAAGTCGACAGAATTGACCCGACAAGTCGACAAAATGAAGGCGGACAAAATACAAAATACAAATACAATTATTTCGACTTGATATGCTGCGACATGTCGCCTTCACAACTCGACAAGTCGAGAATATAGAATGACCGCTAACAGCCACCATAGATTTCTTTGGGGTTTTTTTTCATGCAGCTATCTTCTTCAATATTAACTGTGAAATCAGAAATAACAACAACAAAATGTATACTTTACCAAATATTCTGACTGCGTTTGCGGTGTAACAGAAGGCGTGGCAGTAAGGAAGTACAGTCGCTAAAGATGCCACTAAAGCAACAGTCAACGATTTCATCTTGATAATCTTGATAAAATAAACAAAATGAACAGTTATAGTATTTATGTATTTCAAATACCACGTCGTGGCATATATTTACACCATAATTATGCATACTTAATTCAAGGGATATTGCGGAGAGAAATATTTTCACCATAATTTTATGGTGACTTATTTCACATGATATTACGGAGAGTGAGAGAAAGAGAGAGAGAGAGAGAGAGAGAGAGGAGTAAACAAAACCTAGAGAAAATCCACGAGGTTAACCATGCGACAAAACTGAAACCATAACAATATTCGGTGCATATGACTATTCGCATTTCCATTGTCGTTACTTGATTTTGCCGTATTATTTGAATATGATATTACTATAAACCTAATTACGTTGATTTTCTTCTTGAAAGTGACTGCTTGCTTAACGACGGGATGTCTCTTTAAGGAATGTAACAAATAATGTTAATTTGCACATGTTCTAATGAGTAAATCATTAATTCGTTTTCTAAAGAGCTATTATTTTATTTTGGTGATTAATCTAAATTGTGTGGACTTACTGAACCCTATGGTAAACCCAAATCTCTTTTTTATAGGTTGTTCGCTAATTTCAAGTATTCGCTTAATTCTTGCATCTTCCGGAACATACAGCTTTTTGTAAAAGAAAATATTTTTGTCTTTCTTGTTCAAAGAATACATTTTTTAGTACATGCTTCTATTATCAGGATGGCGCCTGTGGGAAATTACGAAAAGCGATGTTCACCTATTTATTGGCATGCACGTAAAAGGGCCCTTGATATCGAAGAATCGGGGAAAATTACCCTATCCTGCATTGCAGATAGGAAATAAAATTACCATATGTTTGTCTCAAAACGACCAAAGTAACGTGTTGACGAGACATTCGTTTCCAATGGCAATATTCCATATATTACGGTATTCACCTTGATGTTAATATAGCGCACCCCCCCCCCCCACACACACACACACACACCCTTTAGGATACAGGACCCAGTAATCGACGCGGAATGGCGCTGATTTAATAAACAATGTACATGAAAGCAATGGTCACATATACCGTTGGTTGGTGAAATTCAATTCGATTTTAAAGCAACCAAAGTACACCAGAAATTATGAATTATTAACCGGATCAAAACGAGGTGTTATTTCTGGGTCTCAGTTGACAACAAGATAATATTTTGACCATGCTAAGACAGTAACACTCGACCTATTGAGTATCGATAATTCTGAATTTCTTGCTGATATAAGATATCAAAAGGTGGTATTTTTTTAATACAGAACATACATTGAAGTCGTAGATGGGTCTTAAATACATTCTCGGAAAGATGATGATTAAGCTGTTGACCGATTTATCATTTAATGGAATACATGTAAAAGTTGTGTAACACCTCGGAACTCTACTCTGGCCGCCAGAACTCTAAATAGCCATAAAACTTCGGAAAAGATAACACTGGACTAATCTGTCTCTGCTGTTCCGTATTCCTCTTTCAAGTCTAAATATATCTAAAACCAAAAAAGGCTTTGAAAACTGAGTGAAACCATTTGAGAAAGATTTATATGACCACATTACTGACCTGAGAAAGATTTATATCACCACATTACTGACCTGAAAATTGTGGATAACTTGACTGACGAAAAGCTGTTAGTGTGTTAATATTTAATTGATTCCAGTTATTTATATACCTGCTCCTACCAACTGTTACCTATATATTAATATTTGTTTTCTGTTAAAGGGGCTAAATCTCTAACTCAGTATTTTCCATAAAAGTCGAAATTAAAAACACCAATTAGATTTCCATATTGGCCCATTTCAATTGATATTAATGTTGTTATATCTTTCCCTGAAAATGTGGGATCCTAATATCCAATATTTAAGACACATTTTATCATCAGTATATTTTATGGTTTCGGGTTCCATTTGTTATACACAAAGAAAAACATATCCTACACGAGAATGCTAAAGTAATTAGTAATGGCTGATTCAACCACAAAATAATAATGATAAAAAAACCGTGTAGAATGGACTAAGCAGGCGTCAATGACTGTCGTTCAATCTGGACTGTTCACGTATTTCACCGAATATAAGGGTTTATAAGTTACAATATTATTCTTTTTACAAATTGAATATAAAACACTTTGTATACATTCATATGAGCTTTTAGGCCCATTTTCGTCTTTGTAAGGTTCCAACCAGGGGCGGATTGGATCATCGGGCGATCGGGCCCGAAGGGCCGGTCGGACAAAAAAATTTTACAAATTGAATATAAATCACTTTGGCCGGTCGGACAAAAAACATTATATGGGGGGCGGGGGAATTGGACCGGCTATGGAGCGATGATGATCATTTTGTATGTGGCCGGTGGCTTTAACGGGCCGCCACGCCATCACTGGAGTTTTGAATGGGCTGGTATAATAGACTTTCTGGGCCGGGTGTGCTGGGTGTGGGCCGGATTTCGGAATCTTGCAATGGGGATTCCGAATTTCATCCGAAAATTTCATCGGATTCACCCGACACTGTCGCCCGCAAATTTACTAATTATTAAGTCACCTGCACCCTGTTTGTGGGGATACGCCAAAAACGTCTGCCAATGGTTCGTATATCCAAAAAAAATTCAATTTTAAGACCTCGGCAAAATTTGGTGATAGCTGGTCTGCTGGTTGAATTTGACAGAGATTATAATCAGATATGGCACCAAATCGCATATTTGGGGTTCATTTTTCAAAATGTTCACGCGGGAGAGCACCAGCCCCCCCCCCCTCACGTCCGGGCTCCGCGGCCAGTAAAAGTTGCCGCTCCGACACGGGAGCCCGGGCCGGTTCCCGACCCCAATCCGCCCCTGGTTCCAACGAATAGAGCCATATATCTTTTAAAGATGTATTGTGTAAGAGATGAATATATGCAGGTCTCTTTCTGGCTTGAAATGTTATATAAAGTATTATTTAGAACATTATAAACCCATAATCAACTCCTTAGAACAAAGGCTGGCTGAAATATAGAATCCGCACTATATAATCGTTTAACGTTAAAATGGACGTCACTCAATAAAAGGACTGGCAATCAGCTATTTCTTGTCAAAACTTCAAAAATGGTGCATCTTTAACTTTTTCATTAAAAAACCTTCAGCTTTTCCTCATAGGTCAATATTGACGAGATTTTAAATAAACGTTTAACAAGAAGCTTGTTGGCGCGTAAAGTCTACAGAATTATCAATACTAATTTACAATAATATTTATTTGTCGATTTTAAGATAAACTGTTACTAGAAGCGCACACTTATTCAAATAAACTTAACTGGACTGAAATGGGGTTTAACGTGCTACTTTTCTGCAGCTTCACATAAACAATAAACAGAAACTGATTTGTGTAGCTAACGTTTCTTGTTTATCGTGTGCTACCCTCAAATTAGAAACAGAAACCAAACCGCATTACAAGGTTCGGACGAAAACCAGGGCCCCGTATACAAAAAGGCAGTGACCATAAAAGATCGTTTCAATCGTTTAAAGCGAGAATTTCATATTTTCTAAGAAAGTCAAAACATAATTATTTCTATGTCTTTTTCTCAATAGGTTGTCAACTCACTATTATACGATCATAGTTATCATTCTTACACTCAAACATGTTTCACACCGGAAATAATAACACAATCACCTCCTAATTACCTCCCTTGTTTTTCTATTCCCTACCATGGAATAGCTATCTTAAAACGTTTGAATTTGAAGTTTAAGTATATTTGCCAATTTCTCAACTGGCAATAGTGAATTATAGGATTAATAGGACTATTTTTTACATAGCATCGACTTTAAGGCGTCGTTTTAATACATTTTAAAAATATAACTTAAAAATATGAAATTGTAACTTTAAAGATGCCTTCCCGCGTACAACCTGTGATATATTTGGACTAAAACATATTCAAATTGATTTTTCTTTCCAGTAGAAGAGGACAGCCTAACTCACTTTAGATGATGTCTGTCATTGAGAGTGAACTCGGGCTTAATCGAAAGAAGTATCGAGTTATCTCAAATCGTATTTGTATACAAATTCATGCAAGATGTGTTTAACTGTGTTATTGTAGGAACACGTGTGTTTGACATGCTGTCACGTCAGAAAATATCACTGGTTTGTGATGTATTAATATACATATAATTTTCTTCTATATATTTATTGATTTAAAATAATGATTAAATAAATTCCTATATATATGAGTGACACCATTGTGATTAAAATACGTCACATGTCAGATTAACCTGGAAGCCCAAATCCTTATATACAGCTAGCTATCTGATTATTGGCAAATGCTTCATCTGCTCTCGTGAATCTAGTGCCTTTGTTTATAGTAACCCCCCCACACACACCCACACACACACACACACACACACCAATTCCTTTTGCATAGTAAGTTTTGTTGACTTTTTGGTCTTGCTTCAAAGAAGAGTGTTTGAATTTCCATGTTCTGCCAGCTTCTGGTGAATATTTCATGAGTTTGAGGCTAAGAGCCGAAAAATAAACAGAGATGAATTAGGTTGATCGCCCCCTAAAATGACGTCACTGCCTATAGATTTTTTTTGACAAGACCTCGCAAAAAATTGAAAAGGTCAACCCCCTTCAATATTTTTCTTATGTTGGTGTCCACCAATATTGCATGTGATAGAACTGGTTAAACACATTCCAAAGAACAGTTTGTTAAAGATGTCTGATGTCTGACAATTAATTATGCTTCAGTTCAATATTTTGACAGGGTTTTTTTTTGTTTGTTTTTAAAAAAAACATAAATGTCCAGTTAGGTGCGTTTCCCGTCTGTTTTCTATGTAAAAGAAGTGTTACGTCGCATATTTTAAACGATTTATAGCTTGTCACTTGGCTTTGAATGAAATCTGTCATTTTATTTCGAAATGGCACCATTTTGAGAGCTAAGTATTTATATATGTTTTACTGTAATGGAATTGATGGGTGTTACTATCCATATGTATCTTATATAAGAAGGACAGTTTAAAATCTCAGATCCCTTCAATCTTGGTTTACAGGATACACAATGCAGTTAACGTATAGTGGTCATATACACAGGGGCTTTCACCTAAATGTGTCTACGTGGTTGAATATTAGCCAGAGATGGTAAAACAACATTTAAAACGTCTGGTAGCCATACAACTGTTTAAAGCGACAGTATATGGCCCCTCTATATTTAGGCGATAGGTTCCTCACAATTTCCATTTTTAAAGTCAAATACCATGAATTTTAATGTACAATATCTGGTTGCTGTGATTAATTTTCGAAATAGTAGTCTCGTTTAATTGATAATTCGAAGACCAATTATTGCCCGAGGACCTGTATTCACCGAAATAGCTATGTCAATAAAAATGGAATGAAATGGAATTTACAACTGATTTTGAAGGTGTGGGTGTTCCGTAAAGACAAACCGAGTCAAAACGGCGCGTGATATACTTTGGTATCCCCAGCGGTATACTAGACAAGATAATGTCGACATTACTTGACGGCAATAGACTGCCATTTGACGTCAAAGTGAAAAAATAAACAATAATATCATTACACGAAATTTGATCAGCTATGAACTTGTAAGTTAAAATGGCCATCTTTGTATTTTTGAAATTTGTGTTTCACCATAGGCAATGCGTATTGATAAACGAACGATCGCGGGATCTATTGTTCGTGATCAAACCGGTCTAAAAAAATATACGAGGACTGGCTGAAAAGTTCTAAGCCTGAAAAAGATAGATCAATTGGATTGTAACACACTTTGTCACCAACAAGTACAAGCATTGAATGAATCACAGACATAAGAACTGCAACTATAGTGTTATTATTGTCTTCGTACCAGACCATCTTATGAACCTACCCATTGAAATCACCAGAAATGGACAAAACTGGCTATAGGGCAGTCATCAAGTTGGACCTCGACAATGTGTTCGATCACTTCGTTAAAATATACTCAAATTTAAGAATATTGTCATCCTTTGATTTCGGTAATGTATTAACAATTCTTGGGTGTTTTGATAGCAGCTTTGCCCCCCAATCCACCGGCAGTGCCATCCGCCACTGATGACGCCCCTTTCTTTTCCAAAGTAAAGACGTGGGCTGCAGAATATAAGCGAGCTTGGCGATGACCCGCGTCCTGGAAGGCCATCAACAGCAACCATTCAAGAAAATATTGCCCTGGTGCATGACATGGCGATGGCTGATCAACCACTCGACATATTGCCAGTGAGACGCTTGGGCACATTATCGCGAACGAGTTTGTAATAACAAAAATTTCTGCAAGGTGGGTGCAAAAGCTCTTCACTGCGGCTTATAAACGTATCAGATTCCTGACGTCCCGTGACAAGCAGATCCTGGTAATTATTTGGAACTAGCCGGCGGTCATTTTCCTAGTAATGGGTGGCTGAAGGCAGAAAATTTCTTCCTGACCGACATCCAGGCCTTGCAACACCGTTGGCAAAAGTGTGTACACCTCAAAGGGGACTATGTAGAAAAATAAATGGAAACCATCGACTTTGCACAGATCTTTATCAGAACTTTTCAACCAACTCTCGTATGTTATTACTACACATCAATTCAAAGGTTACCTTTGTCAGTGGTGCAGGACGGAGGGCCTGACAAGGACAGCTGTCTAGTCGTTCGGATGGGACGAAAAACCGAAGTCTCGTGTGCATATTGGCGTGCACGTAAAAGATCCCTTGGCAGTTGGAATGAGGGAAATTTTGCCCGGGCAGCGGCGCTACGGCCTACTCTTATATCGAATTCCAACTGCCAAGGGATCTTTTACGTGCACGCCAATGTGTACACGGGACCTCGGTTTTTCGTCCCATCCGAACGACTAGACAGAACAGTAGGACGTTAATGGGCATTTTCTGCTTAGGGTGAGTAGAGTGATAAGCAATTTGATTGCTAGATACTTTATTAAAAGATAAACGTACAAGTAACTGACAAGGGAGAACCACGCCGGAAAATCTGGATGAACTTTCTCGGCCAATGCAGGGATCGAACACCCGACCTACAGGCTAGCGAGCTAGCGTCTTACCCACTTAGCCACGTGATCCCCCACATTCGAACAGATAAGTCTTTAATCTCGATTCAGATGATTCCAGTGAAGGGGCAGATTTTACACTTAATGATAAGGAATTCCATAGATTATGAGCACTGAACCGGAAAGATTTGTATCCAAAAGTTTAAAGATTAAATTTCGGATCTTCTACTAAATGCTAGTCTTTGCATCGTAAATTAAGTTGAGGAGTATACACATGAAATAGATCAGACAGATATGTTAAGCCCGGCCCATACCGCTACTACACACAACCCGACAGGACTCAGCGTCTTGGGTAGTTGTAAAAAAAATCGGGTCGCGTCTTTACTTCACTTGCCTACGACGGTACCAGTCCACACAGGCCCGACTGTCACAGATTATGCGTCGTGATTTACGCCACTTCCCTCTCTTCTGTCCAAAAATCTGCCATCTTGAATTTTCCCCGGAAAACAAGGAGCACATGACCTGCACAGTCACATGACTAAATGCTACTCTCTGATTGGCTAAACAACAGTAAGACAATTAATCGTGTCGTGTTAGTGTCCACACCAACACGATGGGTTACGACTGCATCCAACTGCATCCGACTACGACTGAACATGCTCAGTCGGGCCGACGGGCCACGACGCGACGGAAATCGATTGAATCGTGGTCGTGGAACTGTCCACACTGCACTGATTATCTGAGAAAAGATGTTGCGTTGGGTAGAGTCTGGGCAAGTCTTGGCGGTGTGGGCCGGACTTTAGACTAGTTCCATTGAGACATCTCCGTCTTCATTAGCCCAGTTAGGAAAAGAACAGTAGGGCGTTAAACCCCATTTCATTTGAGACATCTAACCATGACATAGTTTTTGCAGTGGATTCCCGAATGGATAGGCAGCTAGTAAAGATCATTTAATAACGTTTGGGTATATACCTTTTGAAGTGCGACTGACTATCCTGGCAGCAGTAATTTGAATAATTTATAGTTTTGAAATTAAGACCACTTAATTTAGACCACTCAAGATTCTGTTGCAGTTATCCAGTCTAGAAAAGACTAGTGACCAAACAAGCGTGTGAGCAGAGTCTTTTTTTACCAGATGCCTGATATTGCCAATAGCTCTCAAATGAAAGTAACAAGTGATTGACATGTTTTTCCGTTGTTAGATTGGTATCTAAGAATACATCAAGTTTGGTTTGTATATAACAGTCCGCAATAGTCACTATGGATGAATCAATATTATGTAGGCTCTTTTTGTACCAATAGATGATCCGCCTCATCTATTATCTTGCTTCATCTAATCACATACAAATGAACTACAATCTGTATTCAGCATTCCATCCAGAAATCCCCATGACGGAAAATATAGTATCTAAATCTGAAAAATTTAGCTTTTTAAACAAAATATACATTGTATAAATCACGCTTACATCTGTTGTGAACTAGGTAATTTATATTGAGTATGAAATTTGCGAGGGCCAATAATTGTAGCTTCTGTTGTCATTTGCGAGGGCCAATAATTGTAGCTTCTGTTGGCATCCGACAATTGAATATAAAGGTCTAAAAATTCTTCACTCTACGGATCGCAGTTCAATATGTTTAAATATCATGCGATTGTAGTCATCAAAAAAGAATAAACTGAGTGTCAGACATTTATGGAGTTTTTGTTTTGTCCATATGATCTAGGCTGATAATCTATTACACCTCGAATTTATTTTAAATATGCAACAAAGAACGAAAACTCTTCAATAACTTTGTTTACGTTTTATTGAAATACAAAGCTAATGTCTTTAAAGATTGATTATAGTTAATAGCTGGTTCTATATAACTAATTGATTGGTTCTCTAGGCTTCAGGGCAAATTATTTCACCACAAGCGAGAGCGTCGTTTGCTCGCTGGACAAATTTGTAACAACATTTTTCAAGATTTTTTTTAAAACACCCCACTGGTGTTTGTATCATTGGTTTATTATGTCCAATTCTGTAAAAAAAAAATCATGATCAGTAATAATACAGGGGCTACCTTTTTTTATGATAAACATTATCACTGTCTTACCTGGGGACACGGACAATTGCATTAATCTCTCTTATCTCTATAACATACATGTGACATGAATTCAAAAACTTTAAAAAAAACAATTAGCCAATATCGCGTGTATACATATTTCAATTTCGCTTAAAGTTACAATTTCATATTTTTAAGTTATATTTTTAAAATGTATTAAAATAAATTCTAAAATAGATGGTATCTATAAACAGTCCTACCTTGTTAAAGAATAATCCTATTAATTCTATAATTCACTATTGCCAGTTGAGAAATTGGCAAAAATATCATTTTCAACTTCAAATTCAAACGTTTAAAGATAGCTATTCCATGGTGGGGAATAGGAAAACAAGGGAGGTAATTGTGTTATTATTTCCGGTGTGAAGATTTTTAAGTGTGAGAAAGATAACCTATGATCGTATAATAGTGAGTTGACAACCTATTGAGCAAAAGACATAGAAATAATTATGTTTTGACTTTCTTAGAAATATGAAGTTGTAACTTTAACACAAATCGTTTTTATCTAAAAAATGGACCTTTAATAATAAACAGGGAGAACATGAAATATAATTAAAGGGGTCTAGTCTTTATAAGATCAAGGGATGCATCATGAAATTGTTACACCCGAGGGGTATGCCAGTAAAAAATACACCTTTCTATGGTTATAAATACAAACAATATAAACATTATTCAATAACTAATAAATTAATTGAGATGTTTAATGTTTGACCAATCCTCCTTGGTGGTCATGTTAAGAATTTTCAGCAGATGGACGGACGATTTGACATAAGACGAAATAAAACGACAAACAAATCGATATTATAGGTTTTGTGTTCAACAGCCGCCCGGTTAATCCCGAAACAAACTAAAATTATCCGCTTAAAGATCTTTTTAAATGACAATGTTGGTAAGCCAATATTAGGCCTACATATGTGACAGATCTTGTTAAACACATTCCAAGTATAATTTTAACACAGAGAATCAGGAAGTGACACAAAAAAGGATAACATACATAGAAATAACACGCCCGATTAATCCAATTCAACACTTTATTTACACTTAAATTCAAGCGATTTACCTGCTTCAAAGGGATATTGCCAGATATCAGTGAAGATAAAAGACTGATGTTATGAACTGTGAAGGTTTTTATAAAGGCGAGAGCCGCGGGGACTCAATTGGTAAGATGACTCGTTAACTTAGAGGTCCCGTGTTGGCCGAGGACGTTTACCGGGATTTTTACGACAAGGTTCCCCCTTGTCAGCGAGCGAGCATGGCGAGGGACAAGGCATAGTTGTTCGGATGGGACGTAAAACCGAGGTCACGTTCACACATTGGCGTGCGCGTAGAAGAACCCTTGGCAGTTGGAATTCCTCATAGCACACTGTATAGCGTATGCCTATCTTCATAAGCCTAGTAGGTGTAGAAAAGTAGACCGTTAAATCCAATTTCATTTCATTTTCTATAAAGGCAGGTCGAAACCGGCATTAACACGTGTTTCCATCCTTATGCCCAACTACATGTATGTCAGTTTATGGTTTTCATTTGCAAGTGTGGAGATGGATCAATGTCTATAATCACAAACTCTTTAAAGTTTTAAGACGTGCGTCAATATATCACCGATTATCAAGGAAATATATTTATATATTCCAACATGACTGGCGGAATTACTGCAAACACTAAGTGAAACATCTCAAGGTTGCTAAAGTCTTCAATGCTGCTATAAGATCTATATGTAGCAAATTACTCACCCACAACACTTTAAATCAGATGGTCCGCATGTGCATCTTTCACAATTTACTAAATCTATTGTTGGCTCACCGTTTATTTCCATCTCTTTGTCACCTAATTTGCAGTATTCCTGCATTGACATTGTTTTCATATCTAAAAATAAACCCATACCAGCTCAATAATTCAGAATAAGTGCCAAGTAGAAAAAAAAACCATTTCTTTGGGGCGGGGGGGGGGGGGAGGGGGAGGGGGTCATGTAACTTCTTCCTCCGCAAAGTTGTCATACTGTTAATGAATAGAATTACAGAGTACTCAATTTAGATCAATCCAGCAATATCAAGCATGGGCAGCAGGCCTCTTTGAACTTTTCATTCATGCATTAATTTCTTGTCTTGTAATACCGGGAATTCTCGTATTTAAGCCCTGGGCTTAATTTCGAATTTGACCATGTCAGTGACGAAACATTTCTTCTGAAATTAAGCCCAGGGCTTAAATTCGAAAAGAGGAAAAAACGACAAACATTTGGGTTCTTTTTATAATTTTAAATGGAACGAACCAAATTCATCAACAAAAATGGCTTTTAAAACATAATTGTGACACCGTCACATAAATGTTCTGAAATACAAAAAGAAACTGTCCATAAACTTTAAATTTCAAAGTTATTTGAACAAATCAGATCTCAAGGCTAGCTTTTACTAGTATGGTGAGCATTCGTTACCCATCAATGGCCTCGTCTGAATTGGAATCCTCGAACGGGTCGGGTCGTCACTGAGTTGGTCCTCAGCTGGCAGTACAATACCGGAATGTGACTGGAGAACATCTCAGCCTGTAGTTCACATGTAGTTTGAAAATTTAAAAGGGAGACCAAACTAAAATGAAATTTAAAATTTAAGCCCATGGGCTTAAATTCGAAATTTAAACTCGTTATTTAGCCCATGGGCTTAATAACGGCATGGCTTAAATACGAGGATTCCCGGTAATTATGAAATCTTTGGCATAAACTGTAAGTCGACATATTATTCTCTACAAATCATTTTGTTAGATTCAAATTATTTGTGGACCATATAGTTTGTGGTCAATAATGAGGCTGATCCCCACCACCCCCATCTCATCATCCCAAAATAAATACAGAACATTAATTAATTACTGTCACATTTTATATTTTAATGTGTCTATTAATCAAATCGCTCACCATTCTACTTAACCTGATCAGAAAATACTCCCTATACACCAAGTTTCATCACTCTCACTCAATGAGAAGCAAAGTTATAGTGTTTCCCATCATCGACAAATCAAATCTTTACTTAGACAAAGCAGAAAATGCCCACAAGCGAGCTCAGTTATCACAGTTATGGAGTGTTTCATAAATATGAGCTAAGCAACATGATAAATCAATTCAAGCTATTATAACTGATCCGGTTTCACTCGAGTCCCGTTTCATTCTACACAATCAACAATACACACAAGGCCTCGATAAATTGTGAAAAATTCAATGTATGAGTCAAGAAAATTTTCGTTTGCATACATACAGGGATCCAGCTCCTCACGCGTAACATTCTTCACTGGCCGAACACTCATGTACAGTTTAGCGTCACAAATCCACGCAAACGATGATGACGTTTTCGTATTCGGTTTCGTACCGCTGCGAAAGGTCCCTATTTATGTGAATTCCTCATATGAGACGTAGTGTATGATGTTTGTTCTACAGAGGAACCCAACCAAACCGGGTACCGAGTCAAACCTCCATACCGTTCGTACATCTATGGGAATTCCTCATATGATAAGTAGTGTGTGATGTTCTAGAGAGAGTAAGCGTGCCCCGAGCCGTGTCAGACACTAGTCACTACTTATCTAACTGGGACCCAGATTCAGAAGCCGAAGCTACTTGGTGAAAGGATCGATAACCCCGTGATTTTGAAACTGTTGTTCCTGTTTGCGTTATTAAAAAAAAAAGTTCAATAACTATCAAAAGAAACAAAAGTTTATACTTTACCGAATCTGGCGGAAAATGGTTCTGTCCGGCAGAATGAATCATTACAGTAAGAAGGTACTGCCACTAAACATACCACTAAAGCAACAGCCAGAGATTTCATCTTGATAATCTTGATAAAAACAAACAAAATGAAATGAACATTTATAGTTTTTATTTATTTTAAATACCACGTCGCGGCATAGAGAAGATCTAACGCCCACTCAACACAAGCAAACGTGGTCATAATATAGTAACATAGCCGAGGGAGTAATCTGAATATCTACAGGTTCCTCCTCACGTGACACCAAATTTGATAAAAATCTGTGGCCTCTCATCGCGTTAACAAGGTTTCGGAAAAAGGGGTAGAGGAAGACCAGATTCACCCCCCTGTGACTTAAATGCTTCACGCTAAGTTTGACAAAAATCAGTTAAAAATTTCAAAAACATGTGTTAAAAACTGTGGCCTCTATCGGAAAATGGGAGGTAAATTCGGAACGAAAGGTCCTCTCATGAATGACCCCAAATATTTCACAAGTTTCGGGGTCAAGGGGAGGGAGAGAGGGTTTTTACTCTTTAACGATTGTACCTTTACAGTACACAATATTTGGTTTGTCATTACCGGGGGGGGGGGGTGTTACGTGGCTAAGTCGGTAAGATGCTGGCACGCTAGCCTGAAGGTCGGATGTTCTATCCCTGCATTGGCCTAGAAAGTTAATCCAGATTGTCCGGTGTGCTCCACCTTGTCAGTGATGCAGGACGGAGGGCCGTACAAGGACAGCTGTCTAGTCCTTCGGATGAGACGAAAAACCGAGGTCCCGTGTATACATTGGAATGCACGTAAAAGTTGGAATTCGATGTAAGAGTAGGCGATAGTGCCGCTGCCCGGGTAAAATTTACCTTGGCGCTGTTATCTTGGCTGGTGAGTTTCATATATTTTCTCTGGTATAGTTTAGAAATGTTACCCAGCAATGGTTATGTATATATGATACCGACTGTCAAGAAACTATATCTTTAAGCTTCCATCTGCAAGTCCTAAATTATGACCGAATGGTTAGCGCGAGCGCGCTGTGTCATAAGCACTGTAATTGAGTCAACTGGCGTGCTTTCGTTTCCTGGTTGTGCGTGACAAGGAGTGGGGTCGCCTGTCCAACTTCGTGGGTTTTCCCCGGGTCCTCCGGTTTCATCCCACTGCTTAAGAACCCTAGGCGTAAGCGAATTATGGAATTGAAATTGAACCATATGTTAGTCCCGAAATGACCTAGTTTGTGTCGAGTGTACGTTAAGCGCGGTATTTTCTGTTTCACGGATTTCACGATGAAGTGGTGTTTTTAAAACAACAAAAAAGAAAAACCAGCGGCTGCCAGGCAGGATACGCCCACATTTTCGAAGGATGGATAGAGAACAAGCTAACAAGAAAGTGATTTTTCCTACAATCAAGGGCCATAATTCAGGAAATTACAATTCGATATTCGCGAATATCGAAAGGAACTGAGATCTTTGTGTTATAAACTTACATTTCAAGTTTCAACAAAGTCGGATAAAAATTGTGACCTCCATAGGGTCCACAACCTTGATATACTATATTTTTACGCTATTTGAGAACGAACGGCGGCCATTTTGTCTTTCAATTTTGGGCCGATTTTCACGAAATTCGAACTCAGTCGTACTTAGGGTGTAACGGTGATATAATAATACGTTTTTTTTTTAAATCGAATAAAAAATTTTGACCTCTATGGGGTTCACAAGCTAAAAACGCGATTTTTCGTACAATCAGGGGCCATAATTCAGGAAGTTACGGTCCGATATGCGCGAATATCGAAAGGAACCGAGATCTTTGGGTTATAAACTTACATTTCAAATTTCAACAAAATCGGATAAAAATTGTGACCTCTATAGGAACCACAACCTTGATATACCATATTCTTATGCTATTTGAGAACGAAGGGCGGCCATTTTGTCTGTCAATTTTGGGCCGATTTTCACGAAATTCGAACTCAGTCGTCCTTAGGGTGTAACGGTGATATAATAAGTTTTTTTTAAATCAGATAAAAATTATGACTTCTATAGGGTCCACAAGCTAAAAACGCGATTTTTCGTACAATCAGGGTCCATAATTCAGGAAGTTTTGGTCCGATATGCGCGAATATCGAAAGGAACCGAGATCTTTGGGTTATAAACTTACATTTAAAGTTTCGACAAAATCAGATAAAAATTGTGACCTCTATAGGGTCCACAACCTTGATATACCATATTCTTACGCTATTTGATAACGAACGGCGGCCATTTTGTCTGTCAATTTTGGGCCGATTTTCACGAAATTCGAACTCAGTCGCCCTTAGGGTGTAACGGTGATATAATCATACGTTTTTTTAAATCGCATAAAAATTATGACCTCTATAGGGTCCACAAGCTAAAAACGCGATTTTTCGTACAATCATGGGCCATAATTAAGGAAGTTATGGTCCGATATGCGCGAATATCGAAAGAAACCGAGATCTTTGGGTTATAAACTTACATTTCAAGTTTCAACAAAATCGCATAAAAATTGTGACCTCTATAGGGTCCACAACCTTGATATGCCATATTTTTACGCTATTTGAGAACGAACGGCGGCCATTTTGTCTTTCAATTTTGGGCCGATTTTCACGAAATTCGAACTCAGTCGTCCTTAGGGTGTAACGGTGATATCATAATACGGTTTTTTAAATTGGATAAAAGTTATGACTTCTATAGGGTCCACAAGCTAAAAACCCGATTTTTCGTACAATCAGGGGCCATAATTCAGGAAGTTATGGTCAGATATGCGCCAATATCGAAAGCAGCCGAGATCTTTTGGGGATAAACCTATATTTCAAGTTTCGTCAAAATCGGATAAGAATTGTGACCTGTAGAGTGTCCACAAATAATTGTGGACGGAAGGACGTCCGGGCGGACAGAGGCGACGACAATATACGTCCACATGAAAATGTGGGCGTATAAAAAAGAAAGAAAGGAGAACGTGATTTGTATGACGTGTCACGAAACGTCGTTTTTAAATAACAGTGAAGAAATAATATCCATATACATGTATACCGTGTGTTGTGTTTTTGTTGTGAATATATATATAATTTATCACTGCGCGAGTATATTGACCTAATCTCTAGGCTCATATACGCATATACAAAACACCTCAAGACAACACCGCGGACAAGACGCGTAATAAACATACAGTGCGAATAATGAACAACAAACCTATTTTATCTGATAAGTGAATGAATCCGGGGACCAATCTTAAGCGTGCAGACCTCGGTCTGTAGTGAAACAGATTTCATTCAAAATGAAAACAAACTAACAATAAAGCAAACGGTCCACAAAAAAGGAGGAATAATAAGTACAGTATTACTTACCTGAAAATGACGGATAACTTGGCTATGGAGAAGTGTTAGTGTATTAATATTTCATTGATTCAAGTCATTTATATACCAGCTCCTACCAACTGTTACCTATATATTAATATTTGGTTTTTGTTAACTCTTTTAATAATAACGTGGCATTCATTAAAAAACCTACACATTTTCCGTATAGGTTAATATTGATGAGATTTTAAATAAACATTTAGCAAGAAGCTTGTTGACGCGTAAAGTCTACAGAATTATCAATACTAATTTACAATAATATTTATTTCTCGATTTAATATAAACTTTTACTATAAAGACTGAAAGTTGAATCGGTCAGTGAGATTATTTAACGGGGTTATATATCACTCGTTCAAGGAATTTCTGCGCGCAACTGTTACGATCGGCTTGATAACCTCGAATATTACCACTTACCCCAGGTAAGAATGTAGACCTGGCTATTTAGGCACGACAGGGGTCGGACGAAAACCGAGGTCCCGTGTACAAACTGATAGGTGGTAGTTTGAGAAGAGTAGGCGGAAACGCTCAGTGCCTGACTGGGCCCACCTGTCCACCCGTCCGTGGCCAGTGGGCCTAATCTCATTTTAAAAAAGTGGGCCTAAGCCTATAAAGAAAAAAGAGAAAGAAAAAAGGAAAAAGGAAAAAAGAAAAGAGAAAGAAAGGAGAGGGGGAGGAAAAGAAAGAAGGAAGGAGAGGACATGACACAGGACAGGAGAAAGAAAAGATAGGAAAAAAATGACTGACAAACAACACAAAAAAAGAAGTGTACTACAAGGAAAGAACTTTATGAGTTTGACCTCATTATACCTAGAACCGTGTAATTGTAATTCATCTTTTAACCTCTACTTAGTTCTTCATAAGTCATTATCGCCGAAATAATCGCATTATTTTCATCACGGAGAATAAAAAGTTTTTGTTTTTGACACTCAAGAGAATTCTCAAATTCATCTAATGATAGTGCTCTTAGGTCATTCTGTTATCTAATTGTATCAGGAAATCAAAAATTTGCCTTCTTCTGCTTTGGTCTGAAATGCTTGGAAAATGGATTGGCGGTTGTCAATTTTCAAAATCCCCCCCCCCCCGCCAGACTCCCCTAAAGTACCGACTTTAGTAATGATGATCGATGCTAGGCCGAAATTTCAATCGCTTAACTCTCGGTTCATAGTGGATCAATTTGACTGAAATTTTCAGCAAATTGCCTTTACATTATATTTAGTTTTTAACTATTATATTGAGAACTGCAAGCTGTTTATCTAATCTCCCATAATGTATCTTTAATAGACAGTGCAGCACTTAATATTAGACTGATTAGATATTAATGTTTTGTTATATGTGTCCTGCTCAATATATACCGATAAATGTTAATAGAGCAGTTGACATTTTATAACAGTCTAGTTGATATTTAATTTTAAAAGCTATAACTATGTTATTACTTAATACTTTAGCAATGGGTGCACTAAAATGCGACACAGGTGCCCATTTTCATGATTGGGTTACTTAAGTGCGGTGCAGATCACACTAGAACTTGCTTGCCCCAACATCATAGATACATTTTTTAATGATAAGTACACAATTTTGAAATAATTCTCTAAAATATTTCAAATCGCCCGATAAATTACCATTCATCTGACAGAGAGAAATCCCGGATGTTATGTTTATTCCCTTCCTGATGATATAAATTGATAATATTAAAAACCTGAAGATTTAGTAGTTACTTACAGTTTGCCCACATTTGAAAATCATTTGCGAGCAAGGTAGTGTATGATCGATGTCATATTTACTCGCGCTGTTATTACAGTAACCTCGAATATTTGGACGCGTTTCATATTTCGCAACAGTATTATTTGGACTTGAAAGCTTACAAAGTCAGCTTGTGTATGTTATACACAGCTGCTATAATATCCCTTTAACACCCAGAAGTAGAGAATCTATCTAATCACGTATACAAATAGCTGGAATATCAAAGATATGAAAATCCAAATCAACTTACGCCCTTTTAATCGGCTACAGACAGTTCATGATAATTCCATAAAGGTCATAATGTCCAAATTGGAATTGGGGGGGGGGGGTGGATGCAAGAATGGTTAGCACGTGCGCGCTGTATCATAAATAAGACCTGTCATTGAGTCAACTGGCGTGGTTTCGAATCCCCGGTTGTACGTGACAAGGAGTAGGATCGCCTGTCCAACGTCGTGGGTTTTCTTCCTGTCCTCCGGTTACCTCCCACTGCTAAAGACCCCTACGCGCAAGCGAATTTCTGAAATAAAATTAAAACATATGTTAGTGTCGAGTGGACGTTAAACCCCATCTCTCTCTCTCTCTCTCTCTTTCTCTCTCTCTCTCCCTCTCTCCAAATTGGAATCAAATATTAGTTTGACATATAATCTTTCCATAAAAATTCACCGGTGATTAGTTTGAATACATAGGGAATAGATGAAACTGGATAATAATATTGATCTGGTAATCACCCCTCCCCACGAGTCTCATACCTCAATCATTCCTCACACCAATACACACCTTCCAGTTCCAATAGATTGGCTCTTTCATATATAGGCCTACCGGGACATGTTACGAAACTGGATTTGTAACCACATTTTACCCTTGTTGCCGATATGTAATTTAAATAAAGAATCAGACACCTGAAATTATTAATAACGATATATATTCGTATTCACGGTTCGAAGGCCTGAACTGTCAATTTTATTTCACATGATATAGATGGGAATTATCACATTGTTTATGACATTACGCATAGTCACACCAAGATTTAGCTATCCAAAGAAAGCATTAATTACCACTGGTCCATATGTTATGTAATTAACCCAATACTTAGCTTCGTTTATACACAATAGTATTAATAGCCGTAATAATCCGACAAAGATATGGTGATGTTTATGTTGAGCGCAGATTACCCTCCGTGGACAGATTACCCATCGCGCATGCGCGAATATCTGTCTAATTTCCGTTGACTAATCTGCGCGCGCGAAGTGGACTTTGCTCGGGCTATTTAATGGTATTAATCGTTTTAATGAATTTTGTGACCGAGAACATTTTTGATGCGTCATAGTCCGACAGTCTTGGGGGAAAAAATGAAAAAATTCGGCCCATACATGTCATCATAGGCATACGATACACATATCTGAGAACTTCTGACCACCGAACCAGATTTCAGAAACTTTAGGTTACATTGCACTTTTATAAAATATTTAGAAACTGTTTGTTATAAATGTGTTTATTTCTATTATACAAAAATAAGACAAAACTTTACGATATAGTAATTTTTTTGACATTCGAACAGTCACGTGGTCAGCGACCAATTATGAAATACTGTGGACTTGAATTAAAAATCTGTTTTTCGAAGCACCAACGCTAATTATGCAGTGATTTTAAAAATTATTTCACTACAAAGTCGATAGGGGGCCAGGTCATATATATAGTTACGTATAGTTACGCCTGACACAACACTTACGTCAATAAAAACATCGAGGGGTAATCAGCGCAAGGTTGGCAATCTGCGCACCAGCTTAATACTAGCGCGCTCAACGGTTGGTTAGTTGTGCTACCAAAAATAGATGATTTGAATAGCAGACGTGAGTCTTCCGGTTGTTCCCGTTGAGGTCGCAGGGTGCTAAAGGGAAATCCATCGTGTCATCGGTATGTTTGTTTACATTAGGCCTATATTAAATGGGCTGTAGTGGTTTGTAGCCTTATTCATTTATTAATTATTGTATTGCTAATAATTGTTACTATTTACGTTGATAGAGGGCTCATTGGCAGTTTATAGGCTATCCCATATTTTCCGTGAGTTTTAACGACTTGCGATTGTCGATGTTTATATCTAGGCCTAACTATAAATAGGCATGAATTTATCGAGTTTTCCCGTGACCACGCGAATTTAATTGGAAGTGAAAAGCTTCACCGCACCGGAGATCTCCATAATTTTTATAGAATTACTAGGCCTAATATTAGTAAGTATTATTAGTAAGTAATAATAATAAATAAGCTTTTCTGACTAAATCATAGATAGCAAGGCTTTAATTACTATTGTTGAATAGGCCTGAATTGAACTAATTAAGATTAGTTTTACCGGATATAATTTGGACTATTATTTTTATGCCTAGTATTAGTGTAATTGTTCCTCATTTACGTTGATAGAGGGCTCATTGGCAGTTTTTAGGCTATCCCATATTTTTCGTGAGTTTTAATGACTTGCGATTGCCGATGTTTATATCTAGGCCTAACTATATAAATAGGCCTGAATTTAGCGAGTTTTCCCGTGACCACGCGAATTTAATTGGAAGTGAAAAGCTTCACTGCACCGGAGGTCTCCATAATTTTTATAGAATTACTAGGTCTAATAATAGAGTATTATTATAATAATAATAACTAAGGTTTTCTGACTAAATCATAGATAGCAATGCTTTAATTACTATTGTTGAATAGGCCTGAATTAAACTAATTAGGATTAGTTTTACCTTATATAATTTGGACTATTATTTTTATGCCTAGTATTAGTACTAGTATAAATTAGTAAGTCTACAGATTAATTAAATTGATTCAATTTATTGCAAGGCCTTATTTAATGGCTAATAAGCTATTAAGCTATATAGGCTAAACTAATTTTGGAATTAGTTTTTACCCGTGACCCGTGAGAACCATAATTGTTGTCCAAAAGGGACACACTAGAAACTCGATAAGCTCACCCGTCACCCGAATCCCATTCTTCACCCGAAGATCACCCGTCACCCAAGACTCAACCGTCACCAAATATTCACTCTTCACCCGAAGATCACCCATCACCCGAGGCTCACCCGAAGATTACCAGTCACCTGAGGTTCACCCTTAGTGACTTGTTGAATGTTATAGAACCCACTATTAACCTGTGGTGTAACCCATAATATAACCTGCTTCACAGGACCAGTGACCATTTTTATAAGTAACGTAATCACCATGCAGTGATTACCTAACCTTATCCATTGTAAATAACCACAATAAGTGTTCTTGTATTAGAGACCTTGATTGCTAAAACTTAGTAAAAGGAAGAGTGGAAATCACGCCTTTGTATTACAAGAGTTTGGAACAAAGGGGAACAAATCCTGCTCGATACATTTATTTATTAAAGTAAATGACTTTTATTAATTGTATAATATAAGATATATATATGATCTATAAATGAACATTATTGTAAAGACTATTTAATATATCTATTCATTGTAATTTGTATTATGTAAGTATTAATTATAATTATTTGTTGAATAAAGTTTATGTAATTTATTATTGAATTTGTTATTCTTTTGATTTACGTGCTAAGACTGAGACGAGCCCGAATAGCGTTAGAAAAAGGGAAACGCAACATACATATTTTAATAATATTATTTGTTGAAAGTCTACGGGATTGAATGAAATGCATTTTAACGTCATAATGGGGGGGGGGGGGGGTAACGGCCACTCGACACATAACCAGGTCATTTCGGGACAAACCCACGAGATTGGACAGGCGACCCGGCCTACCCTTTGTACGTACAACCGGGGAATCGAAACCCCGCCAGTTGACTCAATGAGAGACCTTATGATACAGCGCGCATGTGCTAACCATTCGGCCAGCACCCCCCCCCCCCTCCACAAATTGTATAGAATTCGATTTTTTCTTTTCACGTTGAAGTTTCGGAGGAGGTTGTAGTCTAACTTACTTTAAAATAGATCTTAAGGTCTGTAATCGAATATAACCTAGATTTCAACAAATTCATAGCAAGATGTATTATACTGTGTGATTGTAGCAACATATGTGTTTGACATGCTGTCATATCACAAAATATCATCATTGTCTTGTGTTTATATACATAGAATTTTATTCTATATTTTTTATTAATTTAAAAAAATAAATAAATTCTTGTCTGTGTATGTTTGAGGGACACAATGGTGACTACAAAAAATACATCACTTTGCCGGATTAACCTGAAAGTTCAAATCCCGAAGTAGAGAAAGCTGTCTGATTAGTCATAGACTCAATCCAGTAATTCAACAAACCAGTTGGACCCAAAATTGCTGGCTTAGTACAACACAATTGGATAAATCAAACCAAATAGTATCAGTAGAGTGCGAAATGAAATGAAATGCAATGGGGTTTAACGTCCTATTTTTCTACAGGAGTTAAACATGTCTACCAGCTAAAATAGAGGGATCCTAGTCTTTCACATTCAAGGTTGTTAAAAGTTGACTGACAACCATATTTTTTTCAACAATGCAATTTTACTATCCTTGGCTAATATTCAATCGTAAAAAACATATAGGTGCGAGTCACTGTGTATATTACCACTATACATTAACTGGATTGTGTTTCCTGGCAACCCAGGTTAGAGGGATCTGATCTTTCAAAATTCCGGTCTTCTTTAGAGAAACATATGAAAACTTAGCACCTATCATTTTCATTATAACAAGAAATATATTCATCTATATTTATCTCTCAAAATAAAATGATCGGCATATTTAATTTATAGGCAAGTGAACTGATGTACAGTCCTTTAAAATATGCGGCGCAACACTTCTTCTACATAGAAAACAGAAGGAAAATTCCCGGCAGGACAATTGTGTTCTAAAAAGCTCTCAAATTATTGATGATGATGAAATGCGGTTTAACGTCCTACTGTTCTGCTCCTATACTGGGCTAATGAAGACGGACATTCGCCATACAGTGTGCTATGAGGGAAATTTTGCCCGGGCAGCGGCACTGTCGCCTACTCTTATATCGAATTCCAACTGCCAGGGGATCTTTTACGTGCATTCCAATATATACACGGGATCTCGGTTTTTCGTATCATCCGAAGGACTAGACAGCTGTCCTTGTCAGGCCCTCCATTCTGCACCACTGACAAGGGGAAACCACGTCGGAAAATCTGGATCGAACACCCGACCTCCAGGCTTGCGAGCCAGCGTCTTAACCACCTAGCCACCGTGGCTCCCCTCAAATTATTGAAATGAAGCCTCAATTCAGTTACTCAAGAAAAGGGTTCAGATTTTATAGCGGTATACTGTTCCGATGCGTCTTATGTACCAGCATCATTTATATCTATTTATTCAGTTTTTAGCATTCTATGGTCTTGAAAGTTTGTTGTGCGGTTGTCGTGTCTTCGCCCTAATAATGTCGTAATATTATTTTTTTCGGGTTGTGAAAAGGGTGAGATTTTACATGGCGACTATCAGCCACCATATCATTTTAGACAGCGTGGTTAGAATTATGTCCCTTTTTCCATGTAACATTAATTTGTGACATGTAGAAAAGTTTACGAAATTAAAGAGAGAAAGAGAGGGGTGGTGTTTAACGTCCACTCGACACAGTCTAGGTCATTTCGGGACTAACACGCGGTTCAATGGCAGATCTCATAAATCTTTGCAGTTTACGCGTTAGACAACTTGGTCCATTCAACGCACACATTCCTTGGATATCAAGGTCTGCTAAATTGTACGAAGACCCGGCTTAATGTCCTTTTAAGGCAAAAACTTGTCATCTAACATGCGATAAAGTATCATGGATGATGGACATACGCACCGCCGATAAAATATCACATGATCTCTTAATAAAAAAGAAAAAAAAGGCACGAAACGTGGGAACATAACACCAAAGTGTCGATATGTAATAAACGTCAATGTATATCAAAAAATAAAATTAGATTAAATAATCAAGTACGAAAATCTATAGTTATTGTTATAAATATATTGCACACATGACCTCGCGTGACATACCGGCTTGTTAGAGTATTATTAACAGGTGTTGCATTTACTTTACTATGGTACACACTTGGTATTTATTTTT